TCTAATTAGGCGATTAATCGTGGGAACTCTGCTCTCTGGGAGATGTTGTCTTGTCCTTGGCGCCCTCTCGCGGCTGTGCGGCTGAAGACATAACCCCTGAGCCCTGGGCCGGTGAGGAAGAGGTCAGTGAGTGGAGTGGGGCATGTGACTGGAGCTGTGTCAGGGCGCCGGGTGAACTCCGTTTCTAGGGACGGCACTGGGCCTTCCACCCTCTCTCCGGTATGTGTCCTGCTTGCCTGCAGGGCACTCATGGCCCTGCCCAAGGGTGCCATTCCCAGTCTGTGCTGCTGCCTGGCCCCTCGTGCCTCATGCTCAGGGCAGCGGGGCTGGAGACCTGGGCTGGCACAGAGTTGGCACCGCCTCACAGGTTGCAGCAGGCCTGAAAAGACACGGACCCGGATCACAGGCACCAGGAGAAGCGGGTTTGCAGGTGTGCATGCTTCCTTTAGTCAGGGAAGGGCATAGGGCATGGAGGTGTCAGGGCCTGATTATAAAAAGCGCATCAGGCAATGCATAGAGGTGGAATCGCCAGGAATTAGGGATGGGGGACTGGCTGGGCGCAGTGCCCTTAGCTTGCAGCCATCCGTTTCCCTGGGCAGCTTGGCAGTGGCCCGGGGGCTGCATCTGGACTGGCCCCTTCCCTGCCTACTCCCCTTCCCTGCCCACTCTGCCCACCTGGGGTCTAGGTTGCCCCAGGTCTGTCCATGGGCCTGGTCCATCCTGGCTGCGCCTTGCTGCCACTCATCTGGGGATCTTGGTATGGTGCTAGGTATCTGTTGGGCAGGTCAACATCATCCCTTTGTGGGCCCCATGCTGTCCTGTCTGCTGGTATGGGGGTGGCTGTGGTCAATTCCAGAAAATTCCGTGCCAGTCTTTGGCCTTCGTCTCAACCGTCCGCACTCCCCAGCTGGGATGAAGCCTGTGGAGGCTTTGGGAAGGGGCTTCTAGAACCAGGGTATTTCTTGGACCAGCAGCCTAGTGGTGACAGTTTTGCTGTCTTGGTGCTGAGCTCGTCTGCACCTGGTCCTGCTGTTCTGGAGGACCTGGTGCTTCCATCTCTGTCGTCACTGTGGATGAGGCCCAGGGGCTGGTGGATGCTGGCCTGGGGCACAGCCAGAGGCCTTCTGGGTCTCCACCGCAGTCGATGGGTGAGGCCCTCCCTGATGGAGCTGGTACTGTTCCCGTCGGCAGCCTGGGAGCTGGACAGACAGCTGGACGGCTGCCCGGGACGCTCATCTTGGCCCTGGCGGGCTGGACAGTGGGATGAGGGAGCAGCCTTCTCTACTTCATGGCAGCCTCAGGCAGTTCTTTGCATGTAGTAGTAATTCTAGTTTCATCTTACTCATTAACCAATTGTGAAATTAGCAACTCATTTTCTTCCTAGTTATTTCCCTTTGAAGTTCCATAAAAATCTGAACTCTCCCTCAACTCCTGCTCCGCATAAAACAGAGCAAGGCCGCGACCTCCATCTGATCAGATCAGCCATCTGTGTTGGAATTGTCCGAGGAGAGCAAGCTGGGTGGGCAGGGCCAGGGTCTGCAGACGGAGCAGCGTTGCTGGAGGTGGGACCAGACTCCTGGGCCCCCGATAGCCGGGCCCAACTGAAACGGCTGCCCTCCTGACAGCGCATCATTGGCATGTGGTGCTTGGTACACAGCAGGGCTCTTGGGATGCCCAAGGGCGCCCTACCTGGCCCCCGGCCTGAGGGCATGGTGCCGTGTGCAGGAGCTGGAACCCTGCTGATGGATGGGCTCATATCCTGTTCACATATGATGCCAGCAGTTTTTCTGCAGTTTGTCTTCCATTGCGGTAGTAAAGTTTTTAATTAGGAGAGCTAATGAGATCGATTAGTCATTAGAAGTGACCTCTGGATGGCGGGCGGAGAGGGCTGCATGTGTGGGGCTGATAAGGCGGGCTGGGCAGCGCTGGCAATAAAGGCGCAAGGGCCTTGATGTGCGAGGAGCGTGCTGGGGGATGGATCACACGGAGGAAAGAATTACAGCCCTGGGAGTCTGTGATGAAGGGAATGAAACCAACATCCTGTCTAAATAACACGACTATCTACACAAACCCCAGCCGGCTAGGAGGGATGGGCATCTGGGCCGGCGTCCTCAGGGAGTAGGGCAGAGGCCTGTCTCTGCCTGGGTCCTTGTTGGACACAGAGTAGCATCCTGGAGCCTCCCAAGCCTTGCCACCTGTCCACCCCATTGCTGCACACCCTGGGGAACAGGGCCAGGGAGGGACCCTTCTCCAGCCTTTTCTGGGTCCGTGTGCCAGGCATGGTCTTAGGAGCCCTTGCTCCTGCCAGCCGCTGGGGGCCCGGCTCGGAATTTATCCCCCACTACCAGTCTGTGTGGCTGTGCCCTGCTGATCCTGGGTCATCATGAACTTGTCCAAGCTGCCCATTTGGGAATGAAAGGGACTGCCTGTGGTCTGCAGGGCAAGCAGTGGGGGGCACAGCCTTGCTGTGGGGGTGGGGTGCAGTGCTGGACCTTCACTGGCTGCCGTCTCCCCACTTCAAGCCCCTTGAAGTGCCCCCACTCTGGTGGCGACTGTGGGAGAGGGTCTGTCTAGGGTGACATGTGCAGGACATGTCTGCCCAGCCTGACTGGGCTGTGACAAGAGGCCAGGACCACATTACTACCATGTGGTTTGCAGGAATGAAGGACACTTGGGCACTAAGAAGTAACACGCAGTGAGGCAGAGAAGCCTGGCCTGACCTGACTGCCGCCTGTGCCACGCGGGAGTGTGATCATGGTGCTGCTGCCTGCCGGGTCCTGCCTGCCCCAAGCTGCCCCTCCTGGGCAAGAGTGTTCTAGAATGCAGCGTCCAGTCCTGCATGCAGTGGGGTTGGGACTTCCTGGAGGAGATGGCATGTGCTGGACCTGGGAGGGAGGGTGAGCTCTGGTCCCCAGGGTTAGAGTTGATTTTAGCCAAAGGGGTGCTGTGCACCTGGCGACAGGAATGGAGCTGGCTCAGGTCTGGGGCCTCCCATGCTCAGAATTTGGGGAAGAGGTTGATGAGGAGGGGAACATGAAGCCCCAGGGCCCCAGCGTGGCCCAGTGTCCCTCCTGCCTTGCTGGGCACTGCCTGGCTTCTGAGCAGGATTGCGCCCTAGCTTTGTTGTGCTATGGAGGCTTGTGAGCAGGCCACGGTGGAAAGCAGGCTGCAGGCTGGCACATGGGTCACCTAGGCACTCTGGGGTTGGGAGTGGGCAGGTGGCAGCCCCAAGCCCTGGCCCCATGGCTGGTGGTGCTCCGGTGGGTATGCTGACTGCCCAGGTGCTGAGGCTGGCTTCCAGCTTGGCCCAAGTGGGGCAGGAGCATCCTGGGCAGCCCATGCCCTCCTCAGGCAGAAGCAGGGAGCCTGCAGCAGGGCTGGAAGCTGACACATCACCTCGGGGTTATTGATAACTTCAGGACTTCTATGTTTTCTGGCTCTTAGTTGGAACAAGCTATTACTGATTTTTTGGTTGGTTTCTCTCTGCTTGTAAGACTTGAAAATTCAATTGGCAGACTCTCTGCTGTGGGCTTGCGAGGGCTCTTGGGAAGTCTTTGATGCCATGCTGGGTCCAAGTATTCCTGACTTGCTCCAGGGCAGGCTGGCAGGTGCCTGGGTGGAAGCTGCAGCTTGGACAGTGCTGGGGCACACCTGCAGGAGGGGATCTTTGTCGACAGCTGGACAGGCTAGTGCAGGCAGGAGGGTGCGAGAGCCCGTGGAGAGATGGGCAGAAGCGGGGCTCAGGGAGGGGCCCTGGCTGCCTGAGGTCCGGTGGGTTTCGGGCTCCGGAAGAGATTTCAGGAAATGGTAACAGTTTCTAGTCCTGTCTAAGGAGCAGGGTACCTCAAGGGCTGTTTGGCTGTGGGACCAAGAAGATGTGAGGGAGGGGCTCTGCTGACATCTGGCCGTCTCCTGCGGGATCTCCTGGGCCCTGGGCTGTGAGGGGAGCTGTTAGGAGGGCGGGCCTGTGCCCACTGCTGTGTTGGCTTTAATTATCTGGGCAGTCAGAGCTGTACATGATGAAAGTTGGGCAACTAGACACGATCCTTGAAGCTATGGATAAATTGCTGGCTATCAAGTGGAAGGGAACTCGGGCAGAACAGATTCCTGTTAATTGCATGAAACGTTCAGCAGGAAAAAGCCATTGTGTCTGTCACCCTGCAAAATGTTATGAAAACAGTGCTGAAGTACATGCACCTGTCTGGGCATGGCAGTGAGCAGGTGAGTGCTCCAGCCCCCCATGTACAGGGCACAGTGCTGAAGTACATGCACCTGTCTGGGCACGGCAGTGAGCAGGTGAGTGCTCCAGCCCCCCATGTACAGGGCACAGTGCTGAAGTACATGCACCTGTCTGGGCACGGCAGTGAGCAGGTGAGTGCTCCAGCCCCCCATGTACAGGGCACAGTGCTGAAGTATATGCACCTGTCTGGGCACGGCAGTGAGCAGGTGAGTGCTCCAGCCCCCCATGTACAGGGCACAGTGCTGAAGTACATGCACCTGTCTGGGCACGGCAGTGAGCAGGTGAGTGCTCCAGCGCCCCCCCCCATGTACAGGGCACAGGCCAGGAGCCTACCTTGCTGTCATGGGTGGAGGTGGCCCATCTGCCTTCCTCACTGCTCTGCTGGGAGTCAGTCATTCACCTCGAGTCCCCCTGGTGCAGATGCTGTCTAGGGGCCTCCGAGGTGTCCCTGGCTGCCAGGCCCCTGGCTTCTCCTGGTTCTCCCGTGGGCGGTCCCTTGCTTCTCCTGATGGCTAGAGGGTGTGCGGGGCCAGTGCCCGCCTCTCCTGGAGGCTGCACTGGTCACACTCCTGAAGCATTGGCTCCCAGGCACCCGGGGATATATGTGCCACATGGGGTGGGGTTTCCATCTAGGGGGTGACAGAGAGTCTTCCAGCCCCAGAGGAGGCAGCAGGCAGGGCTGGCACCGTGGGCGTCCTCTCTGACCCTGTGCTTGCCGACCTTCCCTGACCTATGTCTGTGCCCTGGGTTTTCTCTGCAGCATCCAGCCTGCATGCCCTGCGGAGTCCACCCACTAGCAAGGTGATCAAGACTCGCTACCGCATCGTCAAGAAGACCCCAGCCTCATCTCTCGGCACCCCGGCCTTCCCCCTGTCTCTGCCCTCCTGGCGGGCCCGGCGGCTCTCACTATCCAGGTAGGAAGGCTTCCTCCATGCTCCTGCAGGCCTGGGTACTGGGCTGTCTGGACCCTGCCCTGAGGTCCGGGGGAGGTGAGCACATTCCAGAACTGCTTGGTGTTTGGCTCTTGGCTGGGGACCAGCTTGATTTTTCTGTTTCTTTAGCAATTTCTGTAGCCAGTAGGAGGCCAGCCTGTGTATACCACACATATATGAGGACGGACGGACATATGCGCACACACAGGCCCTGCTGTTCTCAGCGAGCCTGTTAGCTGGTGGGGGCTCTGTGCCATGGAAGCATCGCCACCCAGACGGTCAGGGCCCACGCCATGTGCTTTCTGAGCATCTCTCAGGGAGAAGCTTCTGGTGGGAGAGGCTGGGCCTTGAGCGGCCTGGCTGGAAGCTGTCAGTGTATGATTGTCAGGGTGGCAATGTGGGCTCCTCCTTGCCCTGCCCGCCTACGGTCTGGCCCCCACCCTCCAAGCAGGCTGGGAGGGCGGCTCCATTGGTGGGGAATAGCTCTTGCCTTCCTGGGGTCCCCACTCTGGGAAGCTCTGCCACCCACTGAGTTGAGGTTGCTCCTGGCCCTGGGGATTGGTCCTTCCTTTGCTTGGTGGGGTGTCCATCTCCATGCTTGGGAGAGGGTGAGAGCCCTGGCAGCAGATGGGAAGCAGGCAGTGGCATGCCCTCCCTCTGTCCTCTGACCCTCGCTGTGAGAGCCTGCTCCTGGAGGAGTGGCATGGGCCAGAGACAGTTGACAGGGCCACGGGACAAGCAGCCACAATGCAGGGCACGGCACCCCACCGTACTGTGGCTGTCTGGTGGGTTCCTGCTAGAGGTTCCCAGGCCTGAGGCTAACCCCAGGGGATCCACCCACTGGTGTGGACAGCCCTGCGTGGCTCTAGGGCCTGTGACAGGTCAGGCAGCTGGCAAGCCCACTGGGCGGTGCCCCGCTGCCTCCTGGATTGCCAGGCCACACTCAGCATGGCCCTGCCGCCGACTTTTCTGGAGGCAATAGCTGGAGTATATTTTAAATTAATTTTACTGTACTTTTTGTAATATTTTTGTTTTAAATAGATTTATAAGCATCTCGGGGGCTATTTCTACAAATTTATGAAGATAATTTTTATTCTCTCGATAAGGTTAAATTTACACCTGCTATTTCCATATTAATTCACAGCGCTAAGTGGATCTAATTTTCTTCCGTTCTTCTATCTGGTGAGCATGGCCTTTCCTAATGCAATTTCCCCCTCAGTAAATCACTGTGATCAGGAGTCATGATCGAGCTAAATTAACTTAAATTAATTTACTTAATAAGAGCCCCGGATCATCGGGAATGAGGTCCAGATTTATGGATTCTCCACTCCTGCCCTCCTCCTGCAGTGGTCGTCAGGCCGGCGTTGAGGGTCCACCTCTCCCAGGGGCACGGCTGGGGGCTGAGTGTTGATGTTCCTCAGGGCAGACCCAGCAGAGCCTTTTCCTCTGGATTGTTAGGCCAGGAAGGCCTTGGGTTTGGGTCCGGCTGGGCCCTGGTGGTGTCGTTGTACACCCCAGTTCTGGGGCCAGGGAGGCTGGGGGGAGGAGGAGTCGGCAGCCAGCCCAGTGCCCAGGGCCTCCTGTTGGCGCCATGTGGCTGAGAGCTGTGGGTCAGCTGAGAGGCTCCCTCCAAGCTCCCTGTCCCTCCAATGTGGATCCTGGCCAGCTGCCCTGCAGGGAGCGGCCATGACTCTCTGAGTGCCTGGGTGTAGGGCTGGACCACAGGCAGGGTGCACAGGAGGTGGAGTGGGTACCACCTTTGATGGCTCAAGGCCCCAGCACCAGGATCCCGAATTCAGCCCACCCCTGGAGGCCCTGGCTGTGGTTGGTGGCCATGGGCTCCAGGCCTCAGTGTCCTTCCTGTGTGTGAAGGCCAGGCTGAGCCCACCCCAGGAGGCACACATGGCTCAGGGGGTGTGTGAGGGGCCCCTCCTCGCTGTCCTGACCACTGCAGCCCAGTCCTGTTCCACCCCTTGCCAGGCATCTGGGAGCCTTTGGGGCGTGAGCCCTGGGCTTATGGATGGGGTGCTGAGTTGAGGGGCACGACTCTCAGGAGGCCCTGGGAAGAGTGGCTGCCAGCAGGCTGGGCCTTCGTCACCCAGGTTTACCTGCGTCCCAGCATGGCTGCTGGGCCTGCTGTTGGCTCAGGGTTGTTGAGACAGGAAGGGCCTGTCTGGCCAGCGGCTGGTCTGGCCTGGCCCATGCACCGTCTCCCTTGCTCCATCCAAGCCAGGCTGCCTGCATGTGGCTGGATCCTCAGCCCTCCCTGGGCAGGCCCCGGTCACCCTTCACTAAGAGCCGCCATGGAGAGGAGAAGGCAGGCTGTCTTGCCAGGCAGCTGGCTGGAGCCTGAGACCAGGGCTATCTTTGGGCCCCAGCTCTCTCCCCCATCCCTGGAGGGGCTGGCAGGCAGGCCTCAGCAGTCCTGGAAGCCACGGTGGTCAGAGTTGGCAGGGGCTGGTGGACACACAGGAGGGGAGGGAGACAGACAGGGTGACCAGCGGCTGAGGGCCATTGCTGGTGTGGGACACCCTCTGCCCACCCCTCACTGTGATGGAGATCTGGTCATCCCGAGAGGAAGTCGTGTGTGGGAGTGGGGTCTGCTGCCCCTCGAGGCCCTGGAAGGCCTCTTCCCCTCACAGCCTCAGCGTCTTGCTCTGTCCTTGAAGCAGACGCACGGGTTCTGAGCGTGGAGCCGGGCCTGCTCTCTGTGAAGCCCCAGTTCCCGGAAGATGGACTATGTGGACTACGCCCGATAGCACTGCTCTGGGAGGAGAGGGAGCCGCTGACAGAGGCCCTGCGAAGGGACAACGGTGGGGAGCGCAGCGAGGCCTAGGGGGCTCTGAGTGTTGAGGGAAGGCCTTGCAGGTCTGGGCAGGGGTCCCAGAGGTCCCAGGGCTGCTGCAGGGAGCAGCTGAGCATCCTGAGCAGGGTGTGGCTGGGGGCAGCGAGGCGCGAACCTGATGGCTTGTCCCTGCCTGCCTGTGCCGTGGGGAATGGGTTAGGGTCTTGAGGCTCAATTCTGGTGGGGGGCTCCGGACAGGGCCTGCCTCTCAAAGGGCTGGAACCCCAAAGACGGAGGAGGGGGCAGGACCCCCACCACCCCTGTCCTGAGAGGGATGGGACTGGGCCCTGCTCAGGGGGGACAAGAAAGCATAACACAGGCTGCCCCAGTGAGGCTTGCAGGGCTCTGCTGCTGACACTAGCCCTCACCTTGTCCCCGCTCTGCGCCTGTCCCTGGAACTTCCCCTCCCCTCCCTTCCCCTTCCCTCCCTTTCCCTCCCCCTCCCCTGCCCCCCTCCCCTCCTTTTCCCTCCCCCAGCTGTGATGCTTATGACAGGGACTGCACTGCCCTGAGGGAGGGGGGTCCCTCCTCCTGGCCATGAGCCCCCAGGACCCCTCTGCAGCTACTCTTGGCTTTCGGTTGGAGAGCCCCAGGTCCTGAGCTGTTGGTCCTAGCTCTGCCCTGGGCAGTGGGGAGGGTGCAGAGTGATTAGGTCTGTTCCCTCCTCTGGGAAGCTCTAAGAACTGCCCTTCCCTGCAGCCCGAGGGAGGAAGGGTGGGTGAGTGGGTGCCCGGCCTGACCCCAGGCTTCTACCCTGTCCCAGGGGGTGATTTGGCACGCACCCTCACTCTCCCCCTCCTGATTTAAGTAGAAACTTGCTGTCGACCCAATGGTCACGTTGGGCCCATGTGGGAGGTTGGAGGGCAGCGTCAGGATCCCTTGACAGCTGGGTTTGTAGTAGAGGCTGGGGCCTCTCCTCTCTGTTAGCAGCTTCTCTGGGCCTGGACATGGAAGAGCTGGTGGGAGAGCCAGCTGGATGCTGGCCCGTGGCCTCATGTTCGTGGCTGGCCAGTATTTGTCTTTGTTGGGTGGAAGGAAGGCAGGGGCTGCTGGGCAGCAGCTCCTGGGGCTTCTGTGTGCTGCCAGCCAGGGTCTCTGAGGATGGCACACCATTGTGGCATGCACCAGACAGTGTGCAGAGATGGCGGTGGGGCAGAAGGGGGAGGAGAGAAGGAGCAGTGCCTGTGTGCCACGGGCAGGGCGGGACTCCTGCCCCAAGGGGCAGCATCCACGGTGCCACCTCTGCTGCCCATCAGGGGCCATGTTGCCTGTCGCCCTGGCCTGCAGATGCCCCGCTGTGTGGCTGGGTGGGGAGGGCAGCAGCTGACAGGGGCTTGCTGGTGGTGTCCTGGCCATGTACCACCTCTCCCCGGAGGCTTGAGGCATGGGACCAGGCTATTCTGCCCAACGTGGTGCCCATCACATCTGCCACACACACGGGGTGGGGCCATTGCTCTGGCCCAGGGCCTCTGGGAGCTTCCTGCACTGCTCGCTGCCTCACATGTGCCTGGCCCTGCTGAGTGGTCCCTGAGAGCCTGCCCTGGCCAGCCCTCCCCGGTGCCACAGGACTGCTGCCTTCATCTGGGGCCTGTCCCAGGGGCAGCAGGCCCAGAGCCAGCCCAGGGGCTCAGAGGGTGTCCGTGCAGGCCTGGGGTGCAGGGGCACAAGGCAGAAGGTCGGCGAAGGGTTTCAGAGGAGCCACCGTGAGGGCTCAGGCTCTGCCGAGGGAATTTAATTTTTTTGTTGTTCTGAGATTTGTGGATTTGCCACTGCCCTCGCCGGCTTCAGCAAGTTCATTAATCTGAACTGAAGCTGAAATGTGACTTATATCCCTAACTGCCTGTCACTTTTTTTCCTCTTTCCAAATTCATTTGACATGAAAGTGCGAAATAAACAGAAGCTGCTGTGCTTAAGCAGATGAATTGGAGGCTTCTCCATCCCGACTACAAATGGTCCTGTCACAGGGCTGCCGCTCGCTAGGCTGCCTTACTTTATTTTATTTCATTTTATTTTGCATCTGTGCGGTAAATCTTAAGTAATCTGTGCAGTTTTGACGAGGGTTAGGCCAGGATTTTGAAGGGCTCTGAAACGCTTCTCCAAAGTGACGTCTCATTAAAGAGGAATTCAGCCCGGGGAA